ATTGGAGTAGCTGGTGAGATTGCTCAGGAATTTGGAGGCCTTGGTCAAGGATTGAGGCTTTAAATCTGAGTGAGAGAAGAAGTCACTATGTATTTGAGCAGAGTAGCATTAGCTATTCTTAAAAAGATTATTCTGGGGGCTGAGGATGTGGCTCAAGCGGTAGCACACTCGCCTGGAATGCGTGCGGCCCCGGTTCGATCCTCAGCACCACATACAAACAAATGTTGTGCCGCCAAAAAACTAAGAAATAAATATTAAAATTCTCTCTCTCTCTCTCTCTCTCTCTCTCTCTCTCTCTCTCTCTCTCATCTATCTTTTAAAAAAAAGATTATTCTGTCAATTGATGAAATGGGAGTTACTAAATGATGTCCAGGAGCTAAACCAGGATCAGTGGTACACCCTACTAAGTGGCTATCCTAAGATTTATTAGTAAATGTCTCCATAACTGAGCTGGTCATAAATGAATCAAGAAGCCTCAGGAGATGGTAAGCAAGTCCCTCAGTTAAATGAATGCTTGGTGGAGGATTTATTGCTGAGTGGGGAAGTTCTGACTTAAGTATTGAAGCATCTTTTGGGAGTTGGATTAGATAGCTCTCCAAGTCTCCTCAAACTGGAGATTTTCACATCCTTGGGATTGCACAGGCTAGACAAGTGCTCTGCCACCTAACCACACTCCCAAAATATGCTAACTTTTTAAATGTGCATTTGCTGAAATGAACAAGGATTTGCAGTGGTTCAGAGCCTGGGAGGCAGATAAGATCAACTTCTTGGAACACAAGTGTGAGTTGTAGCCTGAAGGATAGGCAGGACAGCATTTTTACACTTACAGGGCTGGAAGGAACTAGAACCTCAGGTAAGAGGCCACTAATCCTCCAAACTGGGGGCTGGGTGGCAGTTAGGACTTGGAGAGCCAGACTGTGATTCCTTGATCTCCTTCCTCTTTCTCCCCAAGGCCCCATGTTGTATTTAAGCAGCCCACACTCCCTACCTATAACTGAAGGCCACAACAACTCAGAGGAGCCTCCACTTCAAGCCATAAAGAAACAATTAGGCAAAGGTAATGGTCCATAATTTGTTATTTTTCTATTCTATTTCCAAGGGTTCCCTCCTAAGTTATTGCCTAGAAAGAAACATAAAATTTCACATAAAACTGTGTATTTTGTAGAAACAAAGGAGCTCTCTCCCCCCCCATATCTCTCTGTAATTTAAAGCAGTGGGTCTTTCTAGCTAGAAATAAGATTACTTGTACCAGTGTTATATGAACATGTGTACAGGGCTGGCTGCATAATTAGTGCAAAATGAACAGGTGGGATCTCTTGTTAAATATCTTAGGAATTTCAACACCACAACAGATGAGCATTAACCAATGGTGGAGCCTTTCTGAATGTAAGCCCCAATGTGACTGCAGAGATCATATGCCTGCAAAGCCTCATCTGCACAGACAGGATGGTCTGAGGACCAGAGGCTCTGCAGACAATGGAGAGTGTGGGAAAATGAGTAGAAAGTGTGGGGTGGCTTCTGAGGGAGAAGGTGGGGTAGACAATGACATATTCCTTCCTGGTGTTCTCCTGGTCCTGATGTGCCTGGGGTTGGGTACTAGAGGGCCCAGGAATCAGAAAAGAGACAGTGAAAAGAGGATATTGGAGGAAGAAAGGTTCAAATGTGCAAGAGAATGCTGGTATTGAAGAAGGGGTAGACACAAGGTAGAGTTTCTGGGCAAGGAATTATCTTCATGGTACTTTAATTTAATCAATCAAATATATAGATAAAGATATCAATATAGATTTGTTATGTATCATATTTGTTATATATATTATATTTGTTACATATATATGTATATTACTTTTTATTGAAATGGAATGTATCAAATTTAGGTGAATGAGATTTTTTTTTCTCCAAACCTCCTCACTTTTCTCCACCTTGGTAAATGTCAATCACTGTCCACCTCATTGATCAAGGCAGAAACAGGGAGTCATCTTCAACTGACCCATCTCTAATATCCTGTCACTTCTAGTATTTGTGTCTCTCTTGAGCTGGCACTAGCATTTTCCACTGATGTCATCATCATTCCTAGCCATGACTGATAACAGCCTCTTCAATTACTGCCATGTACATCATGCAGCCTCATGAGTCCTCCTTCTGGAACCTCAGTTTCCTCTTCTATAAAATGAGAATAATACTATTTATCTTAAAGGGTTGTTGTCAAAACTCAAAATGAGAGTAGGGCTTTAGCATCATACCTTGCTTTTGCATTCTCAGGCCATAGTTTAAACAATACTTTTATAGGGATCCCTTCCTGCCTTGCTCAGTGGTGGCTTCCACAGGTCCCCAGACTGCTCTGCAGCATTTATCACATGAATCTGTCTTCTCACAACCATCCTGTCAAGAAGGACAAGTATTCTGACCTTGTATGCCTAATGAGGTGCCTGACATGGAGATGAAGCTCCCATTATAATGTGACTGGTATCCTCATACATAGTCAAAGATTCTTCCTGACTATAAGTAGGTGAGCAGATGACCACATACATAAATGAAAACTAAAGATATCAATCCAGAGAATCCATTAACCTGGATGCTGGGGTGCTTGCTTCATCAGAGCTGACCCCTTCCATAGGAAACAGAACTTGGCCAGATAAGGCCATGCAAGGCAGGCCTGACAGAGCCAGGAAGCCAATTCCCAGGTTAACAAAACTAAACTCCCTGCAGAACACAGCGGGGATGGAGCAAAGGTGTGGCAGCACTGCTGGCAGGAGGACGCCCTAAGGGAAGGAATGAAAGTGGTACTCCTATCAGACGCAGAGTCTCTGATTTGATATCAAGCTCCTTGATCCATTTAGAGTTAACTTTTGTGCATGGCGAGAG